GTTTTGTATTTTAATGAATGACACTACAGATATGTTTTCCTTGTCATTATGGTTTTTTTTTGTCCCCACCACATAATTGTCCATAATTGTTCTGTTACCGTTTTCATATATCTGAAACCATTAGTAACAGAAATAAAAGGCAGTTTCTTTAAAAATCACAACACATTTCCAAAGCGGTCTGTTTTCAAACAGGGTGTGAAAACATTTGTGGCTTTAAAGTTTTCTGTTTTTAGGACAGAAATGGCTCTTTGGATTGTGAAGGTTGGAGACTCCTAGCCTAAACAGATCAAACTGGGTCAGGATTTTACAAAAACTATAAAATTCTCTAACCTTGCAAGCAGAAAGTTACTAGAAAGATACTCAAAATCTGATCCACATCTCCAGCTGTGGCATCATTGCTAGTGTTAAAAACAAGTTTCAGAGTTGACATTTTAAAGGATAAATAATATACATTTTCAATAACATACGCATTTCATCTTTATCAGAAGTTCTGTTCGGTTCATATTAAAGCCTCCCCTGTCTCAGCGGCCATAAACCTCCAGCATGCAGCAGGTTCAGAGTCTTTTTGTTTGTGATGCTGAATGAGTTTGCTGACTGTCATTAAAGCAGCCATGCAGGGAGGAGCACAATCAGCCTGTCTCCAGCTCCTCTGTGGCGGCGGCTCCCTGATCTCGATCTGCGCCAGACTCTGTCAAACTGACTCCTCTCTTCTGCAGACACCACTTCTACATTTACCTCAATGAGTCTCAATGTCGTTATGCAAAGCAACTTGTTCAAGTGGAACGGTAATGAATCTCTAAGTAACAGCAGGAAGGAGGGCAGAAAGTGAAGGCAAAGGAAATGCAGAGATGTTTCAGTGGAAATTTAAAGAGCAAAACTTTGTTACCTTCTAGCAGTTCTGGATTAAAGGGAAATGTTTGAATTTTTACTCATAGAGTACATACTAGAAATATGTACTCTATGTATATATATATATATTCTTACATGTGTTCTTTATGACTTTTGCTAAATCTGAGAAAAAAATAAAAATATCAAAAGAAAGCCACCCATGCAATTCATTTTTGAATAAAAAGATAAAGTTGAAAACAGGATTTTCTCATTTTTGTCCAACAGAGCTAATTTTATTTGATTAGTTTTCCATGGAAAACAAAGTAGTGGCATCAATTAGGTATTTTAATCTGTCTGGATGACATGAATTTATGTGTAAACATGCAAATTTTGAAACAAAAAAAAACAACACCTATGCACTAGGATGAGCCGGAGATGTATTTCCCTTTTTTACACAAAGAGCGGCCATCTTGAAACATGTAGTTGACCATTCAATAAAGAACTTGTAAGGCAATATGTGAAAAATAGATGTTTTTTGTTTTTTCAAAAAAGCCAAATTTTGTTGATCACGATTGATTTGTAAAAGCTCTTAAAAGGGTAAAACCTCCAAAGGGATGAACGCTTTAACAGGTGGTCATAATGTTATACCTAATTGGTCTCTAAAGTCAGAAGTTTAGTGTGGGAAACGAACTCATTTTGAAACATTAACAAACAAGATTCATGTAAGAAAAATCAAACCCACACATGCGTCTCAAAAAATGTTTCCTTTGAGGCCATTTTTTTCAATCAGGAGGCACAAAAATAAAAGTTAACTTGGTTCACTTCATTATGAGCCATGTCATCAGTGTGTAAACATTTGTTTCTCAGCTGCACTGACAGAAACGTTCGTCCAGTTTCACTCAGTCTGATCTACAAAGCTGAAAGACAGAAACCGAACCAACCCGAACTTTAACAACTTGTCATTAAATTCACATCTGCACTTCAGAGTTTAGTCTGTTTGTTACAAACTTCAATAATTGACACACTTCTCATCTTTTGTGCTGTTTGCACATGAGCTCCACTTGAGAAAATCCATTTTGATTTGAAGGATGTCTGCTTGGAAAACGTCTGATTCTGTTCCTGTCTGACTCGCCTCCTCTCACAGTTTGTCCACATTTACCTGCACATCAAAGCAGATTAGTGTCTAAGAATGGTCTCTGTGTGAAGCAAATGAGGCGGCCGCGTTCAGAGTGGGCTGCTGCTGCTGCTGCTGCTATCAGAAGCCTCGCAGCTGAAATGCATTAAGAAATCGAGAAAGGAAAGTTCCCTGCAAGCAGTTGCGGTTTTTAGAGAAGTGAACAACCGCATAATTCAGAGGAGGCGTCGGCGAGATGGACTTAGAATTTTATCGCAACATTTTGTGATACTACTGCGATAACGATAAAGATTATAATCAAAATAAATGTATTACGTATTTTTTAGGTAGCTAAATAGCAGCATTCATAGAAACAAACACAAATATTGATCCTGCAAATAATCTCATTTAAGAAAAAATTTGATTTATTACAATGCAACTGCATTTAATCAGATTTCTGAATTTACTTATACGTATTGAGGCCCTTGTGGAAAGAATACTGGAGAAAACAGCAAAATAACATTTAATATTTTTCATTTACTATCTCTAATTGAAATATATCCTAACATTAAGGAGACTTGCATAACGACTGATGCCCGGTTCTCACAAAATGTTTCCTTTTCGACAATTTTAAGAACTTTCTTATCAGAAAAATTTTCCAGTCCTGCCGTGTTTGGAATCGCTCCAATCTAAAGTCCAGGATATTCTACATGTTGGACTGTCTCAGCCCAACGTGGCTCTGATATCATGTGGACAAACGAGAATGCAGCTTGTTGAATGTGACCTGCAGCCAATCCGAAAGCGAGGTGAGAGAAAGACAGCGGTGAATTCAAAATTCAGACAAAACCATTTCCATGGAGCTCCAGAAGGCTTGGTGGGCATCTGAGACGTCTTTTCTCTGTTACTCCACAAACTATCTCCATTGCTTCTTCCCTGTCGGCCATGTTTGTTTACTCTGAATTCACATTTGATCTCATAGGATTTTCCGTCGGAGTCTGAATGCTGGTGAGTGAAATCTGTTGTGTGGTGTGTTGCTCAACACATACACACACACACACACGCACACACACACACACACCCACCCACCACACACACACACACACACACACACTGTAGGACCAAACATCCTTCTGATACCTAACAGTTTGCATCATTGTGTGTGGTCCCTTACGTTATGAAAAGTGTTTGTTCTGAAAGTAGGTTGGAGAAACGACAGCAGTGAAATGGACCTGGTCGTCAACATAACACACATTTCTAAATTGCTTGTTATGTTGCTGTGTTTGTGATTTTGTCTGTTTTATCAAATAGTCTCTGTTGTAAATGTGCTCTCGGGTCTCACAGAGACAACTTGTATGAAAAGAGGTCAAATGATAACAATAAAGGAAATGCTGGTCAGAACAGGAGCAGGAATGGTGTTGGTTTGAATGCTGCCTGACCTTCAGTGTTTCAAATCAGCTTTGTCACAAAGTTATCAAAGTGGTGATTTAAAGGATGACTTGGCTCAACTATGTGCGCTCTTAAGTCCCTTCAAAGGGTGTAGGTTTGTTATTTCTCCAAACTACTATTGAAGAAAATGTTTTCTTTCTCTTCCACATTACATAAATTAACCTTTCGGTTTCTAAACATAAAATCATCCTAAGCATTCTAAGCTCTCACCTATTATCTTTTATGCTTTTCAATATTCCTTTCTTTTTTTTACTACAACCTTGACCAGAAATGAAGAGCAAATATGAAAATAATCAAAGCCTTTGACTATACCCCTTGGCCCATTGCTAGTTTTCGAAAGATACTTCATGCTTCAGACATCCAGGCTCAGGAGAAACTGCTCAGTTGTACAAAAAGATTTTCAAATGGAATGTATTAGGAGATTTCTTCCCCTTCTGCAGTGCAAAAACAGGCGTCCTTCACACTCACCAAATTAGTTTTGCCGCTTCAGGCGCGGAGTTTCAATCCAACTTTTAGCAAAGCGTTTTAGGATCATTAGCTCGAGGCTGATGAGACTTTTCCTCATTAGCTTCGAGCTAAATTTTAAAATGTCTGAGCCTGGAAATGACCTACTTAGTCATGACTGACCATTAGACGCAATGTATGTAATAGCGAAATTGGTCACTTTTAATGAAACTTCTGAAACTGTCATCCCTCGTGGGCTTTAACAAGATGCAGAACGGATCCCAACACAAAATGCAGAAATTCACTTCGCCTTTGTGAAAATTACTGATACTTTTGCATTATTTTATCTTCATGTGACACACTGCAATCTATATTCAACCTCTTGCAAAACATGTTTCTGTTTTCACTAAGCAATTTAACCACTGCTTGCTGCATCAACTGAACCAGATCTGTGCTTACAAATGTTAATTACGCATCGAAAGACTCCATGTTTTACATTTTTGTCTCCACAGTCTCTTAAGGACAATATCTCAAAGATCAGAAGCATTTTGTCTCAGTTTGTCCAAAAATAAAAAATAAAGGAAACTAAGATAAGGCTAAATGCTTCACAAAGTCTATAGTAATATTTTACATTGTGTTTTGGTTTTAAAACAATACAAAATGCACCTTTATATTCTACAGAATGTGTGCTTAAGTCAGGGGTGTTCAAAGTGTGGCTCGGGAGCCATTTGTGACCCTTAAATTGATTCTGTGGCCCAGCCAGCAAACCTGGTTGATGCAAATGGAGACTTTAATTTATCTTTAATTTCTAACAAATTAGAATGTTTCAATGAAAAATCTTACATGTAACACAAAGTATGTCTTTTAATAAAAACACTTTTTGATTTCTCTTTGACTCTGTTTCTAAAACCAGATTTATTTCTTTGTAGACTTTAGATAACCCAGATTCACTTTTAATTAATTGATTAAACTTGGCTTAATATAGAAAACATGTTCAAATAAAATCATGTTCTTGTAGCAGATAATAGATTTAATATCTATGGGTTTTTTTATCCAGGCCCAAAAAAATTTCAAAATGGATGCTTAAAATGTGAAACACTTTTTAAATTTTGGACTTACAAAAAATTTTAACTTATATTTCCCACAAAAAACTGACTTACTTATTCAATTAAAATGATTGTATACTTAGTTTATTGTTGAGCAGTAAAAAACATAAAATAAGATAAAAATTTGAGTTTTTTTTCCCCCTGCTAATTTTTTTTACTTGGCCCATGATCAAAAGTTTGGACACCATTGGCTTAAGATGTGAAATAAATTTGGCAGCTGGTGTAAGAAAACCAAAATATGCATTAAGGAGATTAAAGTATGCAACAGAAAATTGGATAAAATGTAAAACATTTATGAATATTATGTGAGATCCCTTTGAATCCAAACACATTAATCTGGAAATCATCTTTACATGTTGCCACAAGGGGGCAGAACTTCACATTTTCTCCCTAGCACTTCAACAAAAGATTGACAACTTCAACATTTAAAAAGAAACAAAGTGAAAGCAGCCAAAACTTGTTGCCAAGACACAAATCCCACATTTCAGTGTCTGTAAAAATGCATATTACCACCTTGAAGTCAAACACTGTTGCCTGTTTGTATCAGAATATCCACAATTTTACAATAAAGCAACAGAAACACAACATCAAACTGTTTGCTTTTGCCTTGAAGTTGAGCCACTTTTGGTAACAAGAGTCCAGGAGACTCTCGAGTCGAGCGACGAGTCCAGAGGCTCTTCAAGTCGTCTTCTTCACCTCCCACCCTGTAAAAAAGCGGCGGCGCATCGGGAAAGAACTCCTGTTAGATAAAATACTCCTTTGGGTTTTCAGAGGACAGGTTCTGGGAGTCAGTCTGGTTGTTGAAAGGGAAATCTGGACTGTCTTCCTGTTTGACTGCATTCCCCTCCTGGTTTCGATACGTGTCCTTCCTCCGGTAGAGGTACCGCGCGGCGACGGCCAAACCGGTCAGAACCACGAAGATGACAACCGCTATGACACCTGGAATTACAATGTCACGAAAATGTTCATTTAATTTGATAAACAATGTTTATTTTATAGTAATCTGACTGATTGTGGGAGCAAATAAAAAAAGACAAAATTGTGAAAAGTTTACAGTTCAGATTCAACAGTTCCTTCACTGCAAAAACACAAAATCTTACCAAGTAATTTTGGCCTACTTTAAGTAGGTTTACGTTAAGTTTACGCTTAAGTCAACATCTGATTCCTGAGCATGTGACTCATGGTGTGAAAAAGAGTTTTTCACTGCAGTTTTACCAAATAAACCAATGTCAATACAGCAAAAAACAAACAAAAAAAACATCTCAATCTGGCACCAAAACATTTTGGTGAAAAACAACAAAAGTAAAATTGCCATGTTTCCATTGAGCAAATTTATTTTAAAAATGTCAAATTGCACAATTACATGCTGCGACTAATTTATAAATCTTTTCAAAGTGGAATCCACCAGAGGGCGCTAGAGATTTCTTTTAAAAAGCTGGAAGGAAGATGAGTAAAAATATGCAAAAATAAAAACAGTTTTTAATAATAAATTTATAATTATATCTAATTTTTTAAATGAAATCTAAACATTTAGTAAGAATCTTTCTTGGTTGTTGATTAACTATGTTGCACATTTTTCCTAGCACAGTTTTTCCTTCCACTCATCTTTCCATTAACATACAGCCCTCTGAAATCTATCGTCTTTAGCAGTGACCTGGACAGAAAAACTATTTGTCTTCCTGTATGAGCCATAACATCATATATTAAAATCATTTCTTGTTAGTCTAATATATTTTGCTGAGAAACTGAAACTTGTTTGCTATTAGCTGTAAGCTCTAATCATCAAAAGGAAAAGAAACACTTGAAATAAATGAGTCTGTGGGTTGAATCTATACAGAATTAACTTATTTAATTGAGTTCTTTATTCTAATTTATATGGAGAAACTCTGGAATAACAGAACCGCAGCACATTTCTTTAATGCACAGCTGATTGAATTGCTAATCTGAAAAACACTTTAAAAAGTTTTCCATCAGTTAAGATCAAACCTGAGCACTTTAGGGAAATCTAAATAGACTTTAACAGCTTGAAGCAGAATTTAAAATCAGTTTAATAATGCATTAAAAAATGACCGTGTTTTGTGATAATGTCGTGTTCTCAGCAGATTTCTGTAGTTCGATTAGGTTTCCTGCCCTTTGTGTACAACAGGATTGAATGGACAGTTTTAAATGACTTCCACAGTTCCCACCTCCTACACTCTCCACTTTGAATCAATTAATGCTGGCAGAGAACCAAAGTTTAAATTGGTTTTAAATCGAGTCATGTCTTGCACATCTCTCGCTCCAAACGTTTTAAATGTCGCCTGAACAAACACATTCAAGGCAAGTTTTATAAAAGATGCTATGGCTGATTTGAAACTGATAGAGTGAGCAAAGATAAAACAGATTCCAGTGCAGTGAGAGAAATGGTTTAGTACCTCCAATCAGAGCCGAGTCGGTCCTGATGGCATTGACTAAAGGCTGACCTGAGCCCACTGAGCCGGACCGGTCTACAGCAGAGACGGAAAAATCAGGAGGAACAAATCAGAGCAAGAGAGAAGTTAGAAAGACCAAAATAAAAAGCCAGAAGTCATCACCGAATCGAGGAGGAAAATGACAGAAGCAGAAATCATGTACACTCAGCAAAATAGGAGAAATACTGACGCATCTAGTTAGCTTTAAACTGATTCAAACTGGCTTTACCTACTGGGAAGATAAACACAGAGAACCAATGATGCACTTTCCCCTTTAAAATGCATCAAACTGAAAATTGTTTTTATTCTCCTTGTTTAATAAAAGTATCAATCGTACCAACACGCCACCTATCTTTGAGAAAAGTTACTTACAACTTGTTATAAAATGTTTGCACTAGAAACTATACTAAAATGTTGCAGAATGTGAAAAGAGTAGAATGAAAATCCAATCAACAAAACAACTACCTAGAAAATATTTTTAAAAAAGAAAAAATGAAAACGTAATGAATAAAATGTAATTTCATTGTTCTTCTAGATGTTCTGTATTTGACCCTGAATAAAATACTTTATTTCTTTAGTTTAGCTGATAACAGACAAACTGAATAAAGCAGCACAAGTAAACTCAAATCAAACTCCCATTGATGACAGAAATCTCAAAGTTGGATCCGTAGCTCCATGTTTTACCGGATATATGGTGAATGTTTTCAGCTGCGTAGGGATTTGCTGAGGCTGCAGAGCCACAGTTGGACCGAACTAAAGGTCCGGTGATGATGATGGGGCTGGTGTCTGGGTGGAGCAGAGCAGCTTTCAGAGGATTGATGGAGTTGAACTGAACTACTGACAGGCAGCCGGTGAAACCCAGAGACGCGAGCCGTGCCAGATGAGGGTCCAAATCACCAGACTCTGCGAAACAAAGTGAAAATATACATTATTATTATCACAGGTGGTGCTACAACAGATATCTAAATTAGCATGTACATTTCTGTCTATAATACATCTTTACTTATATCAATTCCTAAATATTGATGTTAAAAGTTCTAGTGAAATAATCTGTCAGTGAAACAATACAAGTTCAAATGTATAGTTCCACTGGCAAATAATTCAGCAGCAATGTGAATACTAAGGATAGTTAGCCACCATTGATGGTGAGCTATTTCTCCACCTTTACACATTTAGCAGCGCATTCACAAGCTTGATTGACAGCGCTAAAACCCTCCTCCTGGCTCTAATTGATTGTTTTTGACCTGTGGCAGTGAATTTCTTCAACACGGGGAGGAAGCAGGTGGAGGAAATAAATTTTTTCACATATTATCTTTTCATATTACACTGTCACAAATTTTTTTTACTAAAATTGCATGCTGCAGTGGTTGTAACATGGCATTTAAAAAAACAGTAAAAGTGATACGAATGCTTTTGAAATGCACAGAATATTCCTGGTGTTTAGTTTCTCTGCATTGTGGAAATAATGGATGTTGTCCTAACTGAAAACTGGAAGATTATTTAGCTGCTCCTGGACAAAGTTCCCAAAAATTTTAACTCAAGTAGGAGTAGCTGTACTTCTACATATTTTCTACATATTTTACCTGAAAATATGTAGAAGTACTCGAGTAAAAGTAAAAAGTAACTGTCCAAGAAATGACTGAAGTAAGAGTAAAACAGCATTTCGTAAAAAGTATACACTAGTGCTAAGTAACTGGTCAAATAAATCATTCAATATTTAAAAAGTACATAATCAGATAAACCAAAATAAGTGGAAATTTTGGTTTTATGAGAACAAAAATGACAATAATTCAAAAAAATATAAATTCAGGCTAAAGAAAATGTTTCCAAATTAATTTCTTTCAACATAAAACTTATAAAACTTTAACAAAAACTGAGTGAAGTTTTGGTCGAAACATGTTGTTTTTCATTCAGAGGGAAGAAAATTTGGAAATTTTACTCAAGGAAGAGATGAAATACTTCATAATAAAATCACTCAACTAAAAATACCCCGAGAAGTAATTTTTAAAATGTTACTCAAGTAAATGTAATTAAGTAAATGTAACTAGTTAGTGGCCAACTCTGCTCCTGGAACATAAATGAGATCAATGCTGGCAGATCTTTAATTCATCATCGGCCTTCAATTCTTCCAATTTCCACCTGTATTCATCATATGTTGAGACAAATCTTCCCTCTCTGCCTTTATCTGTTAATTTCACCGACTCCATCCTCTCCATCACTCATCTGAACTCCTCTCTGCAGCGTAAACAGCAGCTGCTAAAGCCAACAAACAGCTGCATCACATGACTGAGAGCTGACTGTTACCTGAACACATCTGCATGTTGATGAGGAAACATTACAGCCGCCTTTCAGCTGTTGCTTTGCTCGCTACATCACGTCTCTCCCAGCCTCCCTGTGTTCCTTCTGGCTCCATTAGTTAGCCTGATGGATGACGAGGCTGGGGGGAAGCGACGGGAAACCCACTTCGCCGCTGCTTTTTCTGATTCTGATCAGAGTCTCTGCCTCTGTCGGTTTGACAGAGTGGACAGCAGGTTATGCGTCGACATGACAGGGTTGAAACGCGCCGCACTCATTCAGCTGTGTGACAACAAACCCGAGCTTTACACCAGACTGCAATAAAACGAGGATTTATTAAGTTACCTGAAATAGAGCTGTTGTAAATTTTATTAAAAATGTACCACTTAGGGTGTTTTAAAGGACGAATCAATTATTTCCACGATGTGGTAAAAAAATCCTGTTGAAAACACACAATCCGACTACGTATATTTGTCTAGTTTCTAGTGCATATATCTTAGTACATCTAAATTAAGATAAAACTAACTTACGAGTAACTTTTCAGCATGATGTAGTAGCTTCTTTTAAGTCAATAATTCCTTAATTTTGATTAAGAGAAAAAACTAGTTCCAAGAGCTGATTGTTCAATTTAAAGCAAGACATTTTTCCATGCTAGAAGGGAAACAATCTGCCAGGAGAATTAATACGTTTTATCAATATTAAGAAATTATTTTTCTTAAAATAAGGTCTTGCATCATGCTGAAAACATACTTGTAAGTTAGTTTTGTCTTATTTCAACTGTACTAAGATATTTGTACTAGAAATTAGACCATAATGCAACTATATAACTATATTATTCTTACCCAACTCTGGAAAAAAAAATACAACCGTACATACATTCAAATCGAGAAGCAATTAGAGCAACCAGTTAACCTAAGTGTTGTGTTTTTGGACTGTGGGAGGAAGTCAGAGTACTCTGAGAAAACTAACATATTCATGGGGACTAAAAGCAAATTTCATGCGGAACAATCCCATGACTTCCTTGCTTCAAGGCAACAGTGCTAAGAACGACACAACCATGCAGCCTGTAGATCTTTTCTCAATCTGTTCTGCAAGAAGAAAACAATCCTAATTTCACATTCAACTCAGACAAACTAGTGAAATGTATAATTCTCCAAAAATAATGACAGTCTGTTTAGATAAAGCTAAAATAAATGGGCGATACTCTTTAAAGTGACAGTCTGGGTGAAGGCTGCGGCCTCTCAGCCCCTCATGTTATTTGCAACTTATATTTCAGACGCTCTTTGAAGGAGCCGCTTAAAGGAAACATGAATAAATCATGACGTGCTCCCTATTACTCTTGTCACCCTGAGCCTTTACAATTCCCTGTCTTCAAATGCACATTTAGGTGGATAAATCATAGCAATGAAACATCACATATTCCCAACTATTTCCAATAATGCAAAGAAATAAACACTTATGCACATATGAGAAGTACAAAAATCCAAATTCTCTAAATGCATCACCCAGAGGCTACATACCATGCTTTTTATTTTTGTTATATTGGGAGGGCAAGAAGTGCAAAACGGAGTGGCAAACAGATTTCACCAGCCTCTAAAACGATGCCCAAGCCTGCTTTTAAAAGTCCATTTTGCTAAACCTGGATCATGTGGCAATGTTTCAGCTGAAGCTAACGCACGGATTGGTGCTTTTAAAAAGCATTTCAACTGCTTTCATCAAAAACTGTTTACTCAAACAGAACCAATACATTTTCAGCAGGTTCAAATGGGTCACATTTTTACTTCCTGTGTCACAATTTTCATTCAGCTTGGCACCGATATGCTAAAACACACTTCAAAACTACTAAATCTCACCAAATATTTGGTGTTTGAGTCCACCTGAAAAAAAGACAAAACTAACTCATAAGATATCTGAAGTTGTTTTAAGTCGATATTGATGAAAAAGTTATAGGTGAAATAATCTGCCAGTGGAACAATACTATAACTTAAAATAATTAAAAATATTTAACTTCTAGTATGTTTCAGCAATATTAAGGACTTTTTGACTTAAAATAATCTAATTTCTTGCTGAAAAGTTACTTGTAAGTTTTGTTTTATTTCAAGTGTACTTAGATATTTGCACTAGAAATTGAAAACAAATACTTGGTAAGATTTTGTGTTTTTTCAGTGCATAGAATAGAAGTGCCATGTTTTTACAATGTAGCATGAAAGTGGTAAAATCAGACTCATCTGCAACCAGTTTCACAATAACTAAAATCTTTAGAACCACAATTTTTTTCATTTTAATTTTAATTTTATCTTTTATTGATCTGGAATGCATAAATTTTCACCCTAAACTGCAGGGATTTAAGCATTCCTGTATTCATTATGAATGCATTTTAAATTGTATCTTTATTTAAAGTTTTTTCTCTTAAATTGGATAAACTCTACTGGCTAAGACCTTTCGCTACCGACATAAAGTCTCTCTTTTAGCCATATGCATCCTTGTGCAACATGGGAACTTAAGGTCTGCATATAGTTTGCAAGAACAAAGAGAATTGATCTTTTGCTTTAAAACTAAAAATCTTTAGGCAATGCATTTTGAAAAACTCCAGGGCAGAAAGTCCTCATCAGCCCCTGCCATAGCAGTAACCAGGCCCATGTTAAATCCTGACACGTTGCTGGACTTGACAAAAAGAAAAGTTTTGTACAGAGCAGAGCTGCCAGAGCAGGATGGCGTCCTTTTGTTTCTCCAGGCATCTGGGAACGTTTTCTTGTTCTTTCAGAAAATGAATCAGCCTTCACTGAAGATTATTTAAAATTCATGCATTAAGGGAAAAAAAATTAAAAAAATTGATCGCTGTTTAATATGTCTATTTTCTCCAAACATCATTCTTCTTCTGAGCTAATTTCCACCTATAAAAGTGGTTTTCAGCTTGATTGAACAAACGCAGAAAACATTTTGAAGGTTTTAGAGTTTTGGAAAATTGTTGAAAAGTCATGAAAAGGACCCAAGTGCAGAACGGTCCAAATGTCCAAATAAGCTGCTGTCTACTACAGTGGAGAAATAGGGCCATAGTAAGAAAACAAGAACAGGATAAAGTCATAAAAATATGAGAACGAAATCAAAATAATATGAGGATAAGTTTGTAACAAAACCAGAAAAGTCTAACAGAATAAAGTCATAATGTGCTCTTATTATTTCTTTATTCTTCTAATGTACTTTATTCTCAGAGTTTAATTTATTTTATTTTATGAGCATTGTCCTAATACTCCATTTACAAACCGGAGTGATGCAAAAAAAAAAGTTTTTCCATTACAGTTTAGAAAAATCCACAAAACTCTGATAGCCCAAAAGATATTTATTTTAAAATTGCCGTGTTTCCATTAAGCAAATTTCTCATCGTGATTCCAATTTGTGCAATTTTAAGGTAGATGGAAACACAAAGATGAACTGGGACTCATAAACTAGCAAAAATGAACTAACATGGCAAACTCCAAGAAAGTTAAAAAAATGTTGCTTTCTTTCATTCTTACTGCATTTTTGTTCAGTGTTATAAAAACATCAGAACAAAGAAGGAAGAACTGACTAAAGAAGAGAGAAATGTTCTTTATAAATCATGTTTAGAGGGTTTTTCTGCACACAATGACTTCACACACTCCCTCCTCACACTCTCCAGTGACTCCAGCATGGAGTTTATGACGCGCTGTTGCCAGGTAAATAGGCTTGTTGCATCGTGACCAGAGTGTTAAACGGTTCTTAGCACTGGCCCCCGGGTGAGAGTCGGGTTTTATGTGACCCTGTCTTGTAATGGATATGTTATGTTTTTCTTTTCAGGAAAAAAATCCTGTGTTTTGTATGAACTTGTACGTATTGGTTTGGTCCAGGATTGCTCACACAGCCTAGGAAGGGGAGAGTCACCTCAGGACATCTGATCGTTTAGCAGAACTTAAATTATCTGCACAATCTACACTGCAAAAACACACAATCTTACCAAAAGCTTTAGTCTAACATCTAGTGCAAATATCTTATTTGACATAGAACTAACCTAAAAGTAATGTTTCAGCAAGATATAGATTATATTTCCAGTAAATAATTATTGAATAGGGTTATGAAGAGTGGGTTCCACTGGTGCTACTGGCAGATTTTTTTCTCTTATAGCAAGACATTTTTCCACTTGACCATTTTTTTAAATTAAAAATTCACCTTACAACCACATACCTGAGTAGAACTTTTTCATCAATATTTAAGAATAACTGACTTAAAACAAGCTCATATATCTTGCTGAAACATTACTTTACAGATTATTTATTTATATTTTAAGTGTGATAATATATTTGCACTAAAAACTAAGCAAAAATACTTCATTAGATTAAATGTTTTTGCAGTGTAGGACTTTAGTTAGGCATTTTGGATTGTAATCAGGTCAGGAAGCAGGTAGTTTTTTTATTATAGTATCATAATCTTGACTCAAACCATTTTTTTGCTCCTTTCTGTACATTAGTGCTTCACATATGTCCTACTCTAGTCGCCTTCCCCACCTGCTCTGAACACATAATGCAGCAGATGTGAGACATTTTGCTCTGAAGGCAGCAACTTCCTTATCAACCCAGACCTGAGAGTTATCTAATAATATGGAGCAGAAATGTACTTTTTAACTCCAACTTCGCTTTTTAAAGACTCTAAAGGTTCTGAGCTGTAACTCTGCTGTAACTTTTGGAAAAGCACAACAAATTTGACCGTTTTCATTTCCGTGGCACCAGGCGGTTTCGTCAAAGACTCTTTATTAGGGACTGGTTGTAGCGATAAGGATGGAAGTTGAGTCACAACAAACGTTTCTTCAGAACAACATGAAATTTCTGAACAACTATGGTTTTTTTTTTTCAATCAAACTGCAAGAAACTTTTGAATATTGTTGATTTTTAATAATTAGTGAAAATATGATATGAAAGAAATCAGTACCAGCTGATGTGAAGAAGACTTTTGAGCATTTTTTAGGGGCAGAAACAATGCATTTAGTCCAGAATTTTTTTTTTATTATTGTGAAAGTGAACATGCTGAGTGTTGGAGGAGAGCGAACAAGTCTGAGTGCTTTAAAGCCAAAAATATCTACTTTCTGCTCTCACTGCCTCCTCGCTTACCGTGCACTTTGCCCAACACCAGCGACTTGATGGCATTAAACTCTCCGTCAGACGTGAGGTTGAAGTTTTCTTTGGCATTTTGGTCAACCTAATGGGGAAAAAAAGAGATTTGAATGTAGTTTTTATGGGTATATTTCATAAACATTTCTGTATGTGCACACTGCAAAAACACAAAATCTTGTTGAATGTTTTTGGACAAGATTTCAAGTTTACTAAGACATTTGCACTGGAAACTAAATAACATTTTAAAAAAAATCTTGGTAAGATTTTGTGTTTTTGCAGAGCAGTTTAATAGCCTCAACTCAACAAAACCAAATTTATAATTAATAATCATTCCAGACGTTTCCTGGGAAAATTATCTGGAGAAAATGCTTCTAAACAGTTTCATGTTGTAAAGTTCAAAATTAAGGATCATTTTATATTCCCCTTTTTATCTACATGGAAATCAAACATTCATAATTTTCCAGCATGACATGTAAATTAATATTTAATTAAGTTATTGTGAGAATTTTACAGAAATTTCTTTTGCCTTTGCTTGAAATCTTAAGATTCTCAGCTGTATAAAATCCACAAAAAGTTTTTAAAACCAACTTTCAGATGTGATGTGAAGCACAGAAAGCATTGTTCTTTGATTTCACCAATTCCCAGGCATACCTGCGATGTCAGAGCTGTCAGAAACTGAAAAGCATTTCAGGTGAAGCCGTTAATGTCAATGCTAATGGCACTTTTTGATCTGTGCTTCTTCAAAATGACCCGTAAGACTTTTAACAACCATTGAAGCAAACATCTAAATACCAACATGACCTGTTTAGCACACATTGTCAGGACAAAGCCTGTTTTCTCTACCAACACAAACTTCAAAATATGAACTTTTCTACACCCTACTTGAGCTCTTTGTTAACAAAAGAAAAAAACCCAGATTGGTCTGAACTAAAACAAAGGTTTGATGTCTGGGAAAGCACCCAAAGCCCACTGTGTAGTATAGTAATGGAGGTGTGATGCTGTGGGCCTTTTTCCAACTGTTTTTTTTTCTATCTGACATAACTTCCCATGTCAAATGGCTTCATCTTTGTAGATTAAATTCTGTACTAAATTTTTTTAATATCAAATCATCTAACAGTCCTGATGCTCACTTCTGAGTCTTTGCTGAAATGCTTTTTTGTTTTTTTCAAGGTGGATCATACTAACAATTAAATGCAACCACACTTGGAACATTTTAAAGTGCAGCTTTTCGTTTGCTGTGCCTGTTTTTTCTTTTATTTTGCTTTTCTTCTAATTCATGCAAAGCACTTTGACCTGCCGTGTTGCTGAAATGTGCGATGCAAATAAATGCGATTGATTGATTAACTCATGCAGTAACTGTGTGAAATCCCATTTAAAGTTTATTTTGATTATTACAAGCAATGCCACTTATAGCCAGTTGGATAAAGCTTGTTTTACTTTACCGTTACCGAATTTATTTGACCAGCTCCATGTTTCCTGGTTTGCTTGTATTTGGCAGTCTGAACATGAAGCGCTCCTTACGTTGAGGCCAAGACTTTATTTCTCGCTCCCTGTCAGTCTGATTTACTGCTTTCCAGCTGTAATAAAACACCGTCTGTAAAACCCAAAAGAATCGCGAACAAAGGGAGCCCCGATAAGAGCCAGAACTCGACGATGCAACATACTGCTGGAGCGATTTCGCCTTTACTGGGTCATTTTTTACGAGGTCAGGGCGGCGGAGATGATTCTGTCCACTTGAGAGACTGCTGGCCATCAGGAAACGGCTGCATGAAACCCTCAGCGAAACCTGCCCTGCTTCCTCAGAGCGTGTTGATAACAAAGCAATGATTCATGATGATGGAAGCAGACACAACGAAACGCACTTCATATTTCATTGCAGCCTCACACACGCCGAATCAGGATGAGGTCACCTTGTATTTTATCTCACATTGTTTATAATTAAAGAGACATTCAGGCTTGTGACTCCTGGCTGTAAGTGCCGTCCTCATAGATCAAACTCGGCTGCTGTGAACAAGCTGGGAGAGTTGTTGGATCCAGATAAGATTACCGTACTTCATATTTCATTTGAAGTGTAATTTAATTAGTTGGTTGATGTATTTTGTTCCCTTAAGGCCTGCAGTCATAACATAAAACGATTCTATGCTGGTTTTGGGGATTGCTAAGAGCAGCTTAGTATTTTTGTCTAGTTTCTAGTGCAAATATCTTCATACACTTGAATTAAGATATAGAAGATTTTATTAAGCAAATAATTATTTAATATTGATTTTAAAAAGTTGTAGTTTCACTAGCAGATTATTTATTGTAATCTACAAAACATTTTCCCATCTTGTAAATGAAATATTCTGCCAATGAAACAAATACTTTTCATCAATATTAAGGATTTATTGACCATAAACAAGCTCCTGCTTCTTGCAGAAAATTTACTTATAAGTTAGTTTTGTCTCATTTCAAGTGAATTAAGATATTTGCACAACAAATTAGACAAAAATACTTTGTAAGATTGTGTGTGTCAGCAAGATTTAGGGGCTTGATTTACGTAAATCCTTTATACTCATGAAAATGTTTGTATATTTTTTTGTGATTATACAGCGACCAGATGTCTGCATTAAGGACAAGGGATAAGTGATAAAAAAACAGCTTTATGGAAAAGAAATCCATAGAAATCTTAGGAGTATTTCATGTTCATTATGAGAAATAAACAGCAACATAAACTTAGATCGCTATTTTCTTAAAAGAAATGTCATTTGCATGTTGAAGAACAGAAAAAAAATGTTTGTTTACCAAATTCTCTGTGCCTCCCACTGAACCACCCACACGATATACAATTTAAGCTAGGAGTATTTTATTATTCTCAACTTTAAAAAAACACACATCTCTAATATCTTTGTGAGGTAAACATCTTATTTTGCATAATATAAAGGTCAGAGACGTGCTTTAATTATAAACTACCTCCTGTCTCACACATGCATGGACTTCATGTATACAAACACATTTCACTGTCTCACGTCTTAAGGAATTATTTACAAAACTCCCAGTTTCACAATCTTTGATGTTGTACGCATATGAGATGGTGTGTGTTTGTGAAAGGGCAAAACGTGGATTTTCATTTTTTCCAACAGTAAAGTGGACCTCTTGTCTCGTTGCCATGGAGACCACACCATATATTTTCTTGTCTCATCTCGTCTGAATGCCTTAAAGCTCGGCAACTCCACTAACGATGGAGCTGACGGCAACAATTAAGCCAGTGGCTTCGTTTGCCGGGTGAGACAGAAACGCACCGAGCTTCGACTGGTTTCACAAATTTCTTTATGACGAAAACAGATGCAAAATCTAATCATGCTTTCTTTTTTTTTAATCAAACTTGACATTTTAAGGAAACCTTTCAATGGAGTGATATTCACCACAAAATGACAATAATTCATTGGTGTGTGCAGATTATTAAAAAGATAAGAGCTACAGGCTCTGCTGCCAATAGCACTGGCTCTATTGGCAGATTATTTCACCTTTAATTAGGAAAAATGTCTGGTTAAAAGTGAAATCTGCTAATGGAGCTAGCAGAGTCCTTAATGTTCATCAACATTAAGGAATTATTGACCTAAAACAAGCTATGTTTTGCTGAAAAGTTACTTGTAAGTTAGTTTCGTCTTATTTTGAGTATCATAGGATATTCGCACTAGAAATTAGACCAAAACTACTCGGGAGGATGATGTGTTTTTGCAGTGTAAGCGTCTCCCGTGTGCACAGCCACCTGCACAGACACGGTGTGTGTCAGTCTCCTGATGGTAACGCTGTGCAGCTGTCCATTGGCCAGGTTCCTCGTGCTGCTGCTCCTCAACACTTCAGCGTCTCGGTTGCCCTCCAGCTTGTATCTCACCTCCAGCTTATCTAAACACACAAAAAAAGTTTATTTTTTCCACCTCAATTTAAACTTCTTGGTGGAAAATAGCCTCGTCTTTGTTCCTTAATCTCTTCACCTCAGTTTGCAGATGCCCTTTTCACCTCAGCAATGAATCAGAATGATGAGTATCTGAGCTTTTCATGTTAAGAGGATTAGTTGTAAGTCCCTATTTATAAAATAATTCTAAATCTAATAATTTTTTTATAATATTGAGAGCATTAGGAGTGAACTCAGTGGAAGAATAATTTCTGGAGGCTTTAAGATTAGAAAGGATGAATTGCACCTTGTCCTTGTAATGCACATGTTTACTTTATTACAATTTTTATTATGGTTAATCCCATTACAAACAGTTCAGGATTAAGATTTATTGAGGTTTTTCTTCACAGTTTAGAGAGAAGAAATCACTTTGTCACAGAGAAGGAAAAAGAAGGGGGAAATTCTTTGTCCAGGATTAAAAATGGTTAAAAACGGTGCAGAGGAGGTGAAAGAAAGCGCTTCGGGATTTACATGGACGCTTTCTATTAAAAGCCTTTACCTGGTGAATCCGCGGCCAGCGCAGAACCTTAATGCCCTGCTTCCTATTAGTTTTCTGAGTCATTAGGACCAGAGAAAGAATCTATTTAAAGCTAATCTAGGTGCAAAGTGCCAATTTTCCAAGACTCCTGGATGTTGAAAATGTAATTCTAAGTTCAAAGTTTCACTACTTCAACTCTTAAAAGGTACAACGTAATTATCCAACAAAGTCTGTGGCTTTTTTATTCAACATTTCCCTGATCTATCACCTATTAGCAGCAGAACAAAGTCCCATTTCAGCAGCACTGTTTACGGTGTCTCCGTGATAAAAGCACAACATAACAGCTGGTGAAGCTGTACTGATGAAAACCAGCGGGGGTTAATGAGGTAAACCCAGATGGGGGGCAAGATCTGAAACATTCCTGAGGAAATAACAAGGCTTGCAGAAAGAGGGTAAGACATTAAAGGAGGAGATGAGAAAACTTGAGTGGGAGAAAAGGAGAGAAAGCTGAGAAATTCAGAAAATCAGCTGTTGGATGACGAGCATCTCATGGTGAAAAGGATTCAAACATTTATCCACTAAAGTCAAATTTTATTCAGACATAATTACAAAACCACAAAGACCAAGTATTTTTGGTCTAGTCTTTAGTACAATATATTCAAGTGCATTAGTTCAGCAGAAATAAGACAAAAAAGACAGAAATACTAATTCCATTTGCAGATTATTTCACTTATAACATGAAGAAAATGTCCAGTTATGAGTGAAATACGATAACACTTTTTTATCAATATTAAGAAATTACTGACTTAAACAAGCTCCTATATTTTGCTGAAAAGTTACTTTTAAGTTATGCACTTGAAAAAAGACTAAACTAAGTTAAAATGCACTGATTTCTGGCTGATTACAGATTTTTAAAAAGCCCGATTTGCCAATTGTGATTTTGGCCAATATCGAGTTTTTTTTCTCTTAAATGTTGCTCGACATTGCAAGAAAGTCACACAGTTGACAACAGTTGTCTACTGTCAACTGCAAAATTAAAGAAATTGTTGCACCCGCTTACTACTGATATATCTGCAGAGGAAACTAGACCAAAAATCCTTGGTGATATTTTGTGCTTTTGCAGTTGAAGCTTTCTCACCGTGCTTGTTGATGAGCACGGCCATGTACTCTCTGTAGTAAGAGCCGACGTAAAGCAGCAGAGCCGGACTCTGAGCCGTCCTGAAACTCAGGGAGACGTTTTCTCCTGTCAGCGTCGTGTCGGAGTAGATGGAGGACGGCAGAGCGCTGCTGTTTCTGGTCAACTCGTACGGCTCCTTGAAGGTGTATCTGATCGACGTTCCAGGTTTGAAACTGGCTGACAGCTCTACAAAGGAAACGGTCAGATTATAATCCATCACTGTTGGTGAGAAGAAAGTTGTCATGAAACTCTGGCAGTGTCTGAACCCGCTGAACCCAAACAGATTTCACTGTGGTGGCATTTTCCTCCTGAAACAGGATTATGATTTGCTGAACTTTTGATTTCATGTGGTATCCAAATGCTTTCAAATGAGTGTTAAGTGTTGCAAACACAGAAAAAGGTTGTGTGGAAATATATAGATGCTTAACCTTTAAAACACCCACACACTGAAGCTGAGAACAAAACCTGTCATGGTTTAAAAACATGAAACACTGCTCAAGGTTTCCTCATGATTTATAACACACAATGTTTACTATCATTCCAAACAATAAGCCAGAAGTTGACCTTAAACTTCTAATTAGGTTATTTGATCTAAATAGAAAAAGCAGTGGGTCAGTTTTAAGAAAATGTGTCAAATGCAGTGGTTTCTTGTGTGACAAGAAACCAAGTTTTATCCTTGGTTCCAACTTGGTTCCTTGGTTCCAACTTACAGGAAGTTCAATTATTTCTTCACATTTAATGTCAACAAAACAAACAGATGTAGTTTCAACTCCTCATGGCAAAAATGCTAACATGAAACTTTCTTATCCACAGAAATGTAAAAAATATGAAAGCTGCTTTCTGTGCTGGAGACATTTTAGAGGAACACAACAAACTACAAATATTTGCACAATTCATCTAAATGTTGATTTACAGGAAGTTTCTAATGAATATTAAATGCTCAAAATGCAGTTCAATTAAGAATTTCTTAGTTTAGGTGTGTGGACTCTTTCCAAATAGGTTGTTGCACCTTTTCATGCATTTTCTGTTGAATTGTACACGATGAATGTCAGAAGACACTTGGAAATTTTTTAAAAAGTTTATATTTTAACCAGAGTCTTGTGAGAGTTAGTGAAGTATTTTCTCCAATATGAGCATCTGAGTGGTTTTCAAACTCTCAATGTTCCTTGCTGATCAACAAAACGATAAAACAGCAATAAGAGCAGCTCAGATCTCTGCATGAGATGTGAATAATTATCCAATAGATGAGATTTATCCAGTTAACTAAATAAACAGATTTAAAAAGAATGTGTTTGAGCCCCTTTAACATTTCAATGGCTTTAGTTTTCTACAGAATTAGTTTTCCGCTTCAGGCTGCAGTGTGAAAGTAGCCAAAATGGCCTGGTGCAAAATACTTCAAAATATTAAAAAAAACATAAAAATGACAAAACAAATAAAAAGTCACTGATTCAAATACAATAACCTCAAGACAAGATTTTAAAATAATTAAAATCAAAACTATATTACCTTGAATTGTGGAGGCTTAACTAACTAGTGTTTTATATGTTTAGGCTTTATTCCAGTTAGAAAGTAGATCAACATGTTTTAGACATTTGTTCCCAGTTTTATTTAACATGGGTCTCACCTGTTTGGCAGAAAACTCCAGTGTAAGCAGACAGGCTGCAGTCGCAGTGGAAGCCAGCGGCTCTCTCCACACAGCGGCCCTGGTTCTGGCACAGCGAGCCGTAGCTGCTGCAGTGACCCGGGCAGCCGGGCCGAACGCCAGGCGTCATCTCTGCCCTTTCCTCCAGGTCCAGAGTAACACCGTTCAGCTGCAGAGCGCGGATGCAGCCTCTGAAACCCCTCTGCCTAGACGCCGTGCCTCCTGAAATCACACGAGGAGAGAAGCCGGTGTAAGTGGCTCAGCCGTGTGAAATTGGAAAATAAGGACAAAAGTATGTTAGAGCTACTTTTTCCGTCTGTCATCTTTGCTCAAGAGTCTCAATTATTGCTACCTGAGCTCAAAAGCCTGCATTTGTCTTTCCCGTTGGTTTTCTATTTATTTCACCTGACATTTACAACAAACCCACATGTCACATCAGCTCCTCCAGAAGCATCAAATTGTCAAATACAAACACAGAAATAGCAACAGGCTGTAGGTGGAAAGGCGCATTCAAAGACAACATTAATCTGCTTTCCTTACGTCTATTGCATATTTTCAGCTGCAGACGGGTTCATCAGTATGCAGCTGATGAATGCAGGAGACTGGAAACCACCAAGAATTCATGTGTTCTGCTTTTTAACCAGTTTGACTCATTTTCTGCAACATTTTTGTTTCCCTCTAACAACTGTTTGCATATGTTTCAGAATTGACACATATCATTAAGCACATTTTCAAACTTCAGGCTAGCACTGAATGCATCTAAAGGCTCATATTTTTAAGTGGGAAACAACAGATTATTGGTCCTAACAATAATGAAAATGTTCTATTTTGCAGAAGTTGAACAAACTTTATGAAAAATAGGGTTATAATAAGAAAATAGGGCAATAATGGTTTCAATTAATGTATAGTTTTGCCATTCACTGCAAAATCTTACAAAGTATTGTCGTCTCATTGATGAAAAAGTTCTATTTATACTGGCAGATTATTTCATTTGTTTTAAGTGAAATAATTTGCCTGTGATCTAGAACTTTTTCATTACTTTACATTTCATTATTTGTACATAAATTTTGTCTCATTTAAAGTGTAAAACTGAAGAATGAACTGAGTGAAAATCAATGGAGGGAAAAAAAGTGACAAAATACCTAAAACAGCAGCGAACAGATTGTTAAGATGTTAATCTACACGGTGTGGGTTAAAGAAACAGATTTAGAAATAATTTTTTATAAAACTTGCTTTTGGTTTTAAATTTAAATGTTTGAAATGTTGTCAACTTCAGGTAATGACAGAAATAATCAAGTAGCAAAAGGTTAAGACCAAAGCTGCTCGTACCCCACATGAATCTGGATTCATCATCAAACAAGAGTTTTTATTTGAAAATTATTTAATAGAAAAGTCTTTATCAGCTGTACAGCAAAGACACTTGTTTTACTGTATTTTCTGGAAAGCTGTTTGATTGCTGCCACAGGAATTTTAATGATAATATTTTTTATATTATCTCAGAGTTATTGAGGTCTGGACTGAGAATTGGCAGCTCCAAAACATAAACATTCAGCCAGTTGAAAACAGAAGTTAACATTTTCATGGACACAGTGACATTTTAACGTCTCTGTGTTCGTTAAAATGTTTCACAGAAATACAAGCTGCTCGAAACCTGTTAAAGGTAGAATTATGGCACATGAACGCAAATGCATACAATGGACGCCTGGTTAAGCCTTAATAAGGGTTATAAATATGTAAACACTGAGCTCTAAATGCTGCAATAAAATCCCAAAAAACATCTCACTCAATTTGATATCCTGACATATTTTCTTCCAAAGCAGATCTGATGAAGTCGTTAAATTGTCGTTTTTTAGGTTGCTGGTGGGACATTCAGCAGGTTGCTGACATTCAGCAGGTTGCTGAATACATTTATAGGACAATTTAATATTCCTCCACAATTTCACTGCTGCTCCCTTGTCCAATTTCACTGTTTGGTCCTTTTGCTTCAAGTTTGGATTCACTGATAAGAAGTGATGCCCAAAATATTTACTGATTGATTAAAACTGATAATGAATGATGGATTTTCATTACTTTTGGCTCCAACTCTATCAGCAGGATTGGATTGCAGAATGTGAAATGAACTGAGATAACCTGCAGTCCTCGTAAACCATGCAGCATCTCAGCGTCTTTGAAAGGAATTTACATAACCATAAAAATATTGTAAACAACACACAGGCTGCAATTTGTTTTCATCCTGATGCGTTTTCCAGGCGGTAGGTTTTACTGCTGGATGTCATTTAGCAATCATAAAGCTTCACTTCAGCACTTTCCTATTCACTATGAACAGTTTCTTCTGCAAGCCAAACCACAGAAAAGCTCTGTAATACTAACAGGCTTAAACAGCAGAGTCAAACAAAATGATTTTTTTTATTATTATTGTTCAATTTTTCTTTTCTTTCTGTTGAAAAAAGGGCTGAAACTGCTGGGATATAATTTTCCTTCTTGTGCAATGTTTCATCAGTATTGTGTTGATTAGTATGTGTGCATAGTGAGATGTGTATTGTACACTCTTTTTCCTTCCTTTGGCTCTAATAAAAAAAGTATCACTAATACTCACTAATCATGTAAAATTTTAAATCACTGTTGATACAAAACATAAAAAAATGGTTTTGCACAATTGCGTTATCATAAGACAGACCCAAAGTTCTTGACTTCTGGGCTGAATGTGTTGCGTTTGAGTAAAAGTTGGTCGACGTTTCTAGTTCTAGCTACTCCAAACCCAAGATTAATGAAAAAAGTTGTCATTAAATGGGAATTTACCTCATATTTTTTTTAATTGCCTGTAAAACATCTTGCTCTGTAAGATGAAAAAGAGTCCATTTGCATCAACCACCTGTAGTTGCATTGAGGTCAGGGGTCAACAAAATCCTTCAAAGGGCCAGAAATGACCTCAGGGCTGCACTTTGAACAACCCTGATCTAGGATTACATTAAAGCATATAATGTAAATTAAAGATAATTTCAAAAGTATTGCATAAAGAAAACCATTGAATTTTTATTGTAACTAAAAATTCTGTTATATAAAATAGTCTTAAACTGAATAAGAAAACATTTCAGTATGCAGGAAGCCTGAGAGGACAAACCTAAAAGACATTTGTCTGTAAATGAACAGAAGCAACGCTCCTCACCGATGAACAGCTGGCTGTTGAGCTGCAGGTGGACGTGTCCGTCAGCCGGCGCCTCCTGCGTCGCCACAGGCAGGTTGTCCAGTCGAAGCGACGCCTCCTTGATGTTTCGCTCGGCTCGGACTCGATGCCATCGGTTGTCATTCAGCGGGTCCATTGACTCGACCTGAACTTCCAGTGGGCCGTTACCAACATCGAAGGAGAAAACCACCCGAGTAGACGCTTGATAAAGAAAAAAAACAGACAGAAATAGCAAACAGAATCTGTTATTTGGTCTACAGAACGTCTTACTGCTTGAAGAAGTTAAACATAATCAAAGCAATCTGACAAGAAGCCAAACATTTGACATGTCAGCTTCATGTCATACTCAACAACAATCAGCATTTCATTTACTCAAACAGCAAACATCAATCTCAGTCAATGAGAATTGGACTTCTGGGTGAAATCTCCATGATTTTGTTAAAAGAGACAGATGCTCCTTTCTAAATACAGCTGGAATCAAACCTCACTCATGTTTCCATATGGTTCCCTGTGCAGGCCTGAAATGAGCCAAAGCAATGAATGGGGAATTGAGACAGGAGCTGCAACATCCAGTGCAGAGAGACAAACAAGCAGACAGGGGGAGTGCCGGCCTCTCTGGAATGAAATTTAATTACTCTATCACAACAAAACAACAATAAAGCCAACATGCTTCGCACTAAGCAGAGTGGGAACAGTCCTCAAAGGATAGCAAACAAAAGAAGACCAATTTGGGGCCATGAGCTGATTACATTAAAAAATAAATAAATAACAAACACGTCTCATTTTTTCCAGCCTGCCATAACATTTGCTATATACTTACAAATTTAGCAGATCTGTTGGGATAAATTTCTCAGCTGACAAAGGAAGAAAAATAAGCCGGTAGTGAAAACGAAACCATTTTTAAAAAACGTTTTCCCTGTGGCATTTCACATGAATAAACATAACTTAATTTCTGAACTTATTTATTTTGGTGTCTTTTACACCTGTGGATTAATTGGTTTGTTAGCAACACCTGGAGAAAATTTGATATCAACAGCATCTTTAGTATGGCATCCATTTGTAATGTAGTAAAACTGGTTTATTAGTCTGAGTGTTAATTTCTCAAAGTCATATTGTCACCTTACTATTCCTATATTTATTAATAGAGTTCCAAACTAATATTTCATTGATAAGTCAAATATTTAGTTTATATATATATATATAAAATATTTAGCTTTCAAATGAAATATTTACTTCCCAACTAAATGTTTAAGTTTGAACTAAGTTTATTTATCTTGAAAACTAAATATTTACATCCTAATAAAAGAGTAGAGGATGCAATATTTATTTTGTACTTTGTAAATATTTAGTTTTCACAAACTTCATATTTGTTACATACAAAAATATAATTTGAAGTAGTTTAATCTACAACAGAAACTACTTTAATAATGGAAGCTCAATATTTAGCTCCAAGCTAAATATTTAAGTCTGTGCTAAATAGTTTGAAGCCTAAATATTGAGTTGCAAAACTAAATATTGAGCTCCACATTACATATTTAATTGGGAAATATATGTTTATTTTCCAAAGTAAACGTTTAGCTTCCTAACCAAATATTCAATATTAAACTTAAATCTTTAGTTTGTAAAATAAACATTTTCCTTGAGAATTAGATATTTAGTTTGGATCTCAGACAATGACGAATACAGAAAAACCATGGTGAAAATATTAAATGAATCCCTACATTTATCCTTCATGCCAGGCTAACTAAACCAAATTATTGTTTTTTTTCACTGTGTAGTTTAGATAAACTTTTACTAAGAGAAATTGTTACGTATTCAAGTCTAATTTAACCTGCTGTATGTCCTTTACAATAATAAGAAGAAACTCAGTTAAACTGAATTGAGAATAGGAAAGTGGACTGACAATAATGATTTTTTAAAAAGTGCAGAAGAAAGACATTATGATGTCCAAATCTCAATCTTATCTTATTTGAATACTTACAGTATTATTTAAATGTTTTTAATAGGAAGAACTGTGTTCTTCATCCAGTGGATTTCAAGAAGGCGCTGAATCTAATCTGTGTTGCTGAGTTTTCCTCTGCAGTCAGATTTCAGGACCACGGCCAGCTCCCCAGCCATCCTGGGGTTTCAGCACCACGGACAGCTCCGCTCGGCTGCAAGTCTTTATTTACTTCCTCCAGGGTGTCTGCTGCACTCTATTTGTTTCCCCTATCAAACGGGAGAAGATTTAAGAGAGTGCAGAGGAAGCGGAGCGCCATCCCTCATGTTTTGCTGCTGGAAGTTGGGGATGTATTGCTTTGGGAGCGCAGAACAAGATGAAAAAAATACCCCGGCATCCAGCGGTAACTTCATTTAGGAATTTGTTCCCTGGCCCCAGCTACAATGTTACGGAGCAATCTGCTGGTGATGGAGAGGGAGGGGTTGGTATACAGAGGTGGAACAGCCAGACAGACAATGATTTCCCCTGAGAGGGATGTTAGGGGGTTGGTTTCCCTCTGCTGGATTTTTCTTCTTCTTCTGTTTGTCCTTTAAAGTCAACGACTTCCTCCAAAGTGGAACAAAAACAACTGCAAAATTTAACCCACGCAGCAAAAAAAAAAAAGAAAAAGAAAAAAGAAAAACAGCCAATCCATAACTGAAAAATATAATCCACCACTCAAGTCTGTTGTAGTGACACACCTTTACCATAAACCTGAGTTATGATGCACTAAAACACAAAAACAGGCCGTGTCAGGTAACGCTCCACATCTTCTTATATGCTGACATTTGCAGTTGGATAGACTTTTTATTTCCTCCTTAGTACTTTCCCATTTTGTCCTCTCGATGTAATCCATCTTTGTCTAATTTTCTACCAATTTAACATTTCTTTTTCTCGTATTAACATGTTTAAAGCTACATTTAAATCGGTTACCATCTCCTTTGCAGATTTTCCTTTTATCTTTTGTGTATCCATGGAATAATTAGTAATTAAAAATAGTACTTATTGTCACTATTAGCAGTGCAACTCTTAGAAGGTTGGTATTTATGCAGCTCATTAGCTATTCAGGGTTTGACAATGACAAAAACTCTCAAGAACAAGATGGGACAAGATTTTAAAACTTCAAAGAAAATTTAGCATGCAGAGTAAAGTTATTTACTCTGCATCTTTTTACTTATTTTTGCCACAAACTCAAACTGAAATCTTTCTTTTTCCAAATTCCCTGTATCTCTTCATACCTTTGTGCGCTGTTTCGACTAAGCATGGCCTGCAATACAACATCCACCATTTTGCAGCTGCTAATGATAGCATAGCTGCAGCATCGGAACAATTTGCAATGCTATTGTTCATGTCTTGTCTGTCACAGACTTTGGATCAAAATAATATCTAATTTGTGAAATATTGCATGAGCTTGAGTTTTTCAATTGAGTAAAACACAATTATTTTTTTGTCAAAGTTATAAATACATTTCTTCACGGTTTGGTTCCACCACTTCTAAAATACTTTAAACAATTACAGTTACTAGATAATCAAACTTGTACTTGTTTTTTGAGTCATTTTTATTTTGTTCTTCTTTTTACGGTCTTAATTAGAAAAGTTCAAAGTAAATAGCATTACTTTTAGCTATACATTGAAGTCTGTCATAAATCAAAGGTCATGTATTTTGTTTTGCATTTTAATTAAAATCTTTTTAGTCTCCTCCATCAACCTGCAGGTGATTACAGATTTAATTTGGCTCTGGCATATTTACGCAATGTATTCATGTTGATTAATATGTATTGTCCCCTTTATAAAAACAAATAAATCAATCTAAGGTTATTGTTCCTCCTGGAAACACAAAATGCTCCCACACAAATGATTTAAGAGTCGTTGAGCTTCTTCTATAAGAACTTCCTGAGAGTTATATTCAGCTGTCTGGTTTCTCTCCCAGCTGTGGTCAGTTTCTACTCTTACCTAAACCACGACTGTTTTTACCCCTGAACTGTAACGGCAGGATTAACTTCTTACCTGAATCCGTCACCAGGGTAACTCACGTTGCTTCGGAGCAGGTTAGGTTTCCAGGTAAGAGATCAAGACAAAGAAAGCACTGCCTATTTCCATTTTTCAACCAATCAATGTAAAATGTGATGAAAAAATGACCGCGCTCCTCCTCCGCTTCTTTTTCCCCCTCACTGAGTCACGTCGTTACGCCTTATGTCTTCAGAAAACCTTTGTGAGAGAAATCTTAGCAATATTGAGCCTTGCATAACTAAAACTGAAACTACTTCAAATTGTTTCATGCTGTCTGTACATTTACCTTTGATTCTCAGCTCGCTTGTGTAGCTCTTAGAAAATGCTGTTTAACGTCACAAATTGACCAGAACATATTTCAATGCAGACATTTTATGAGCTTTTGGGTTTTCAGACTGGACGATTATTATCTTTGTAAACCAAAAATGCACAGAGGGCAACATTAATAATGACAAAATGTTGGATTGATTAAATAATTTGTCTTTGCTGTTAAGAGGATTGATTTGCACATTTATTTGCATTTTTTTTTACTTCCCTTTTCTGACCAGCTTTTTTTTTCTCTCTTTGTGAGTCATTAATCCTGAATTGATTTGCTGAGTTGATAAGCAACTTTATAGCATCGTCTGATCCAGCCATCCACTGTCATGCCCACTCATCCTTGCAGGGTCATGGGGGGGTGGCTGCTTATCTCCAGCAGTCGTTGGGCAAGAGGGGCCACACATTGTAGTGTCTGAGAGCGGATTAGATCTCATTAGATCCCAAGGCCTCAGGAGAATATTTCTACACCAGAGCCAGACTCTGAAAGTGAGCGAGAACGGTGAGGAATCCCTGAACATCTTGGAGAGTCAACGCTGCAGACCAACCAAGGCCAGACATGGAAAATATCTGCAAAACATCAGCTTACATAAGTGATGATTAACATGTTTATGTCTTCATATTAATTCATTCCTATATACTGAGAAAAATTAGTTTCTATTTGAACAAAAACAGATGTTGGGTACTTTTGGAGCATTTGTATTGACATATTTTTAGTGGAAATGCTGCTTTTCTCCACTTCATTTCACTAGTTTCTATTCTTCTTTGCTTGTTTATCATGTTTTTCTAGTTCTGTTCAACTTGTTCTATCTCTGTATGTTTTGTGTTTAACTATTAAACATTTATCCCGACATCCTGTCTAAACCTGAAACATGACATATAGAGCTAAGGTCAGGTCCACAGTATCACCTTTCTGAAGTATTTATTTCTCTGGTTCAGTCATTTATTCTCAATTCCTGTTGCTTTATTGTTCTGGTCCAGCAAATGGTTTTTGATTTGTTTCAGATCATCTAATTATTTATGGATTTTTGTCTCTTTTTCTGGATATTAAGCTTCCATTATTATTGAAATAACAGTGTGTTCCCATCATGATTAATCACCATCTCATGTAGTATTGACATAAAATATAATAATCCTTTATTTATTTGTCCCTCAGTGAGGGACAAATAAATAAAGGTATGTAAGCAAAAGGACAGAAAGCAAACAGATGTGCTGCCTTTCACTCCTCGTTTTAAATGAGAACAAGTGTGCTGTGTTTAATTTAATTAAAAGAAACACCAAAAAAATCTGTTTTTGAGATTAGGTGAGGTCGGCGAGTCGTCCACAGATTCACAGCTACAAAAACAAAAAGTTTGATTTACTAAATTATGTTTTGTATCTTCCTGCATCTGCCTTCCAGCAGACTAGTTACTGTTTTTCAGAGTCTAAAACATTTTTAAGAAGAAGCAATTGTAAAAATGTAAAAATCTTTCTTTCTTTTCTTTTATTTTATTAAATGCACATTTTGCAAACATTGTACTTCATATAAAACTCAGGCTCAATCGTATCCGCTCATGTGAGTTATGAAAACATTTTGGGATTTTTATCAATATAAACAAGATTTGAGTATTTGAAATTATGACGTGATTTAGTTTTTATGGAACGACATGAAGCTAATGGCCGAGGGACATATTTTACAGTCGTATTCAAAATATAAATTCTTACTGAAAAGCTCATTCATTTCAGCAGCTCAATTCACCAAGTGAAGCATATTATACAGATTAATTAACAGATTGATGTTTTCAAGCCTTTATTTCTGGTAATAATGATAATTTTCTGCTGATAGTTAATAAAAACATTTGAAATTTGACATAAGATCATTAAAATAAGACATTTTAATACAGGATTTTGCAGAATACTTTTAATTAGATGTAGGTTTAATGTATACAAACAAAACTCATTTGAATTAATATTATAATTTATTAAATTTGGTATGACTTTAGTATACTGTAATTTACATTCATAAAATAATGTTTCTTTAGTGGATAAAACACTAAAACTGCCTCCATCCCAGAAATGTTCACTTAATCCTTGGAAATCCAACTCTAAGTTGACTCTGAAATGCAATTGCAATTGAATTAGCAATTGCAAAATGGTGCCAAATGACACACAACTGTCATCTAAGATTAAAAAAGCTGTAATGTATAAATTTGGAGTTTTGACTTTAAGGGTTGGCCTGTAGTCGGTTACATTTCAAACAGAAATTGCTCACTGGCTGGCCGTTGTTTTATTAAGGTGGCTGGCTTTAAACAGAAAAATAGAAACGAATACTTAAAATACCAAAGTCAGAAAAATAAGGCTGTACGTAATGACGTGACGTAAAGCTGTACAGTCTCAAACAAACGGGCGAATTGAATTAAACTGCTTAGGCAACATCTGACCAAAGAGAAAAACCGGGAGACGGTTTCAGGCAAAACACTGTGGGACAAATTTACACGAAAACATCAAAATTTGCACAACAACTTTAAGTTAGAACCCTAAATAACATATTTAGACAGTTTGTCAGCAAACAAAGTTGATTTGGGGGCTAGTTTTACTTTATAGGCAGTAAGTATGTTCTAATTCTTTTCTTTTGCCATCGCTCTCCTTGTTCCCAGTGTTGTCCATCATCCTGAATTTGCTCATAAGGGACTTCATACTAATCCATTAATTTCCTTCTGCTTGATTAATTTGTCAAATTAGAATTACATAACACAATCATACTGGGTTAGAAAGCCTGGAATCTGCAATTAATTTGATTAAACAAAACAGAATTACATAATTGATAGATTTGGCCAGTTTTCAGTCGATATAAATGAACTACTGTGCATAATGGCTACAGATAATTTCTAAAAACAAAACAAGAAACTTATCTAAATTAGATAAAACGTCTGACATCAGGTGCAATCACCCACAAACTACACACATTTAAAAAAGCAGTGATGAGAATGATCTGTTGCACGTTTCTCAAGGGAAAACACTTAATGAAAGGTCAGAGGGGAAACATGATGGAACATTTCTAAAATTAAAAACATGGGCTAAGGTAATTAGTAGCTTTGTTTTAATGGTTTTAATAATCCCCAATTTTCTGCTTGGGCTGTCAGAATACATTTTGGATGACAAACATTAAATAGGCAAACAAAATATTTTATTCTTTTCTGAAGAATAAAAAATATATATTTTCCTGACACTTTAAAAGTACAAACATCAAAGTTCAGACTCATTATAATCACAGAAAAGTGTAACTAATTCCCCCCTGCACTCGAGTGATATTCAGTGTTGTAATCCAGTTTCTACTCACTGCTTAGTTCGATCCGGATGAAGTCCTGAATGCCAAGATTTTCCAGAAATACTCCAGAGGAAGCAGTGGTCTTAAAAAGGAAGGAGATGTCTGCGCTCAGCTCACCGTGGAAGGTGGGGAAGTGGAGGTATGACGTCTCCTCGTCAAAAAATGCAGCGTTCCAGAAGTTCTCTGCGAAAAAAGTGGGGAAAACAAATAAATCAACTGTCAAGATATTCAGAATAAAACCAAAAAAGCCAAACCAGGATGGCGAACAGGAAAGTGTTTTAGAATTAAAATTGTTTTCAGAAAATGTGGCTTAAATTGCAAAACAGTAAATGAAATCCAGGCAATTTTACTGAGCATGTATAAATCTAGAACTTTTAAGTTTTAGATTTAAAATTACCATTTTGACTGTTTGTCAAATTTTTAAACATATTTGTGGAAGATTTACTGCATGGAGAATGAATTCCTGTATGTATGAAGTGTTTAAGTAGGAGGCAACTGGATTTATTGGGCTGTTCACGATGTTTCACCTCCCATGCAAAAGGCTTTTTTAGTTCTTTCTGAAGAAGTAAAAATTCTAGTTGATATTTTGTTTTGTTTTTTACATTTTCCAGGGTTTTGTTTCTATTTTGGTCTCAACTTCTTCTAAAAAAAAAAAAAAACACCCAGTTGTTTTTTTGGCTGTAAGTTAATGAGGGTTTTTTTGGTGTCTGGAAAATGAGCCAATTCAAAAACCTCCTGGTTGTTGATTTCTCTGTTATTTCGTAACCCCAGCAAAGCCCAGACTGTTTACAGCAGCTTATCTGGATTTAAAGTTACAGAGTCCATAAAACAGATCATTCTAAAAACAAGAAAGAAAAAAAAAAGCTCAAACAGGAAGGAAAGACCAGACTAAAATCTGTTTAAGAATGATTTTGTGCAACAAATAAATTAAACATGTTTTGTACAGACCATATCCTAATCTGTTCAGTGAAGCATAATAGATCTCCTAAAATCTATGTTTAAGATAAATAAGTTAGAGAGGTTTATGTTTGGTTGTATGCATGGTGAGTCCAATAGGAGAAAATGTTAGGAACCCCTGATTTAGAGAAACTTACTGTCTCCATAGCAGCGGAGTGGTCCCACCCTGTACGCTGCCTCTGACCCCGGCCTCTGGAGGTCACCCAATACCAGAGATCTGACTGGGAGGCTTTCCTTATGGGTAACCAGGCCTGAGTCCTCAGTCCTGGAAAAAAACACATAAAAAATGTCAAAACTGCTCCTTCATTGGCAGCTTGCAGATTCACAAGAATGTCCAACTCATTTAGCGACAACATTAGATGGAAGGTTAACAATGCAGCATCTAGACGCATCACTTCACTGCAAAAAACACAAGGTTTTGTCATGAATTTTAGTCCAGTTTCCAGTGCTAATATTTTAGTATGACATACAAGTAAGTTTTCAAAAAGATAAACACGCTGTTTAAGTCAACAATTTTTGAATACGGTTACAAACAATACTAGTTCCACTTGCAGATTTTATTCACTTAAAACAGGAAAATTTAATTTTGACAGAAATAAAATATGCTAATGGAACTAGCATTTTTTTTTAACTATATTCAAGAATTATTGACTTAAAACAAGCTTATATCTCTTTTAAGTTAGTTTCATTTGTACTAAGATATTTATACTAAAATCAAGACAAATATACTTGGAAATATTTTGTATTTTTGCAGTGTTCTTTCAAAATTGAACTTTTACGCCCATTTCATCTTTATATTTTATATCGTTTTTGCAGAGTAAAAATTCAGGATTACAAAAAACAACGACCAGGACTGAAAGCAGAGATGCACAGAATATTTTATGCCTGATAAAATATTGAGGCGCAGCAGTAGTAGCTCTTTTCTGTGAAAAAACATCACAATGGAAGTCAGGATTTGTGGGTGAGTGTTGCTATGTGCTTACAACATCAAAGGTTAAAAAAGTTTTTTTTTTTTTGTTTTTGCCTTGTCAGTTTATTCCAGATGATTTGGTGTTGCTAAACTACTGAAGTTGCAAATGGTGCGTTGCCAGTCATCCGTGTGAAGCGGAGCGAGGTGAAAGGTTCAGATGTGGCGAGAGAGTTTATTTTCTGCGTGTTGATTTCGGCTGAGCGTTCGTATAACTTCATTCTGATTTTGACATGTTTTCTTCGCTGATCGTTAATCATTTCTGTGTGGCAAGCTGCACTGTGAGGCAGATGGGGTCAGAAAGTGCTGCTGTTTTAAGTCTGTATCAGCAGTTAGATGAAGAATATAACAGAATAGCGCCCTTATTGTTCAATGATGCTGACACAGCAGAGCATTTCAAGTCACTCCACAGTACCTCAGCAGGATAAAAATCTGGCCTTTAACCTCTTTTTGCAAGTTTATATTTATCAATAAGTCTTTGCACTACAAAAACAAAATCTTAAACTGCTAAAACAGAGCTTGTTATATGTCAATAATTTTGTAATTTAAAAAAGGAACTAGTTTCACTTGCAGATTATTTCACTGGAATTTGAATTTTCTCCCTCTGCTTGCCTGGGTTCTCAAGTTAATAGACTATAATAAATTATCTTTACATAAGAGTGTGTGTGTGTGTTTTGTTTTGTGTGTATTTGCGTTGCTCTGTGATGGACTGGCGATCTGTCCAGGATGTTCCCTGCCTCTCGAATGATGGCTGGAGATAGACACCATTAACTCCCCTGCAACCTTGTGAGGATAAGCGAGTGCAGATAGATGCTTGGATGGATGGATGTCCACATATGATTGGAAAACCACATGACAGACGACTGTACGTGTCTATAATCGTCAGTACCACTCAATCTGTCTGCGTCGCAGTTGCAGTAGTGTTGTGGATCCACGCAGTCGCCCC